TTGCTGCACTGTGGTTTCCTTAAGAACATGTTCAGACGATAAGTTTGAAGTTCAAAATCCCAGGAACCCCCTCCTCCCCCGAAATTTAAATGGTCGGTTCCAAATGTCAGTTCCTGAATTTTGTCTCCACCCGAAGACTCCTGTCATGTGTAGTAAGTACTCGGCGTCATTTCAACCATTGAGACGAGACCAAGTCTACACATACAAAGTTATATTTAAAGAAATTTCTTTACATACATATTTCAAAATTACAGTATACTATTATCGTTAATAGAAATTGTCACACCAAATTTAGAAATATACAGTAAACTACTCATAAAAAGTCAGATATCACTTCTTGCTACCACTAAACAAAGTGTGTTTTGAAAAAGACAACTAAGATTTGATTTCAATGCGATTGTCGTGAGACAATTTGAAGGATCGGGTGGTAATCACTTGGTTGATTGCATGTCCATTTATCCCCGGCTTGGGTTATGGCTTATGATATCAATCACTGACTTTCTGGAATTTCCTGGCACGGTATGTCCCTGTATCTGATACTAGCTGTAAGACCTGACTAAAGGAGTGGTTGATAATTTGGGGATTGCAGTCTTGTGTTGCCGCCTCTTCTGTGCTCAGCTGGATCAACAGATGATCTGTGTGCTTCGTATCTGAAGAAATATATTTGTAGCTTAGATTACAGGCAAACTAGCGCAAATAGGGTTGCGCCACAGAGAGAAAAATGACCAGTCTTCTTATATGCGAGCGAGGCTTATAGGAAGACTGGTCATGTTTCTCTCCCTATTTGCTACAGTTTGCCTATGGTTTAAGTATGCAGAAATTGACTATTACTTCTTCCCACCCAAATGGCTTACACCTTTAATCTCAACTAGATTACATTTGAAAAATAGTGTAGTGATGTCTTCAGAGTGACTCCTGTGATGCATTGCCAATGTTTATTGTAACCGATAACGTTCCAAACTTACCACATAGGACGGTACAGGTACAGGCTTTAGTTTCAACCTGAATCGAGCAGACATTTGGAACCCCTGTCTTCGTTGTAAATATAGGAGAACTATATTTCTATTTTGGAATAAGATGCTAGTTTTGTTACTGTCTTTTAAAAACATTTGAGAACATTTGCTGTGTACAGCAAGTATTCATCTATGATTCAAGATGTGTGGGATTTAAGGGAAATAACTCCAGCTTAACTTATACGCGACTTACAATGTTATCTCCCATTTAACAGCAGCTTGTGTGAAATATATGGTAATCTGGCATTTCGCACACAACTTTCAAAGGACGGCTGGTTATTCATCCCAATGGCCCAGAAATTATTTCAAGGCCCAGCCGAAATGGCTTAGCAATGTTGGGCAGATTTGTAGGGACCCTGATGAACTGGTTTGGCAAAGGGAGAAAGAAAACTCTAAACTTCACTCCAACTGTTTGACATTATCGTAAGTATACCTCAAACTATAAACAGCCATTCTGAAGTAAATTCATGTTTCCTAGCAACCGTTACTGTGCCTACAACAGTTTTTTACAGTTTTGTGATGGAAACTTTTAAGTAGTCACTAATTTTTGGATGAAAATAATATTTTTCTTATTTTCAGAGTACGTGGTCATAACATTTTGAAGCGAAATAACATAGTCAGTTGTTTCATTTGATTACATGAATACGGACCCGTGAAGGTCCGGGTTAGAATTGGTGTCCAATAACCCATGCTTGACACATGTTACCGTGTCAGAATTGCGTAGAATGATGCCCATGCTGTTGATCACTGGATTGTCTGGTCCAGACTCGATCACCTACAGACCGCCGTCATATAAAGAATCGGCTTCACACATTGCTGGTGTTTCCCGAAGATATATTGTGATGTATGATAACCTATTTATTGTCCCGGTGTACATATCACGTGATCATTACTTTCTTGTTTCAGTTCACAAACACTTCTCCACACAAACGTAAAGGATGTCAAGACTGGAGACGGTTTGCAACCAACTGAAATGGCAGTCGGAGACATGGAAGAAACGTGAAAACGACAAAACTGAATCGACTACACTGTATCTCAAAGATTCTCAAAATAAAAATGAATCGTTCATAACGTATTTCGTTTTTATCTTCCATCATATCGTGTTACATATGATCTCTCTTTGAAGATCCGGGTTAGAATTAGTCTTCAGCAACCCATTCTTGTCGTAAATGGCGACTAACGGGGTCGGGTGGTCAGACTCGCTGACTTGACTGACGCATGTCATCATGTCCTAATTTCGTAGATGGATGCTCATGCTGTTGGTCACTGGATTTTGTTGTCCAGACTGGATTATTTACATACCACGGCCATATATTTGGACTATTGCTGAGTGTGGTGTTAAACAACAAACAAACAAAACAAAATACACAGACCCCTAGTCCACTGAATCTGCCGTCGTCCTCTTTAAGTAGTGGCCTTTTTCTTGGAAGGAAGGATGATGTTAGGGTTAGTATCATGATATAGACATAGTAATCCGTAGCATGGTGGACCATCACGGCATCTACATCTACAACCAACCGTAATATTAATATCAATATCGAAGTTGGCAAAGACATCGTTGATAACAATGTCAGAACTCAGACCATTAGTCTAATTATAATGTTGTTGTGGCAACTTCCTGACATTTTCTTGTGAGACTCGTCCTCCACATCCTTCCAAAAGGTCTTCATCGCAATTCACATGAATCCCGATTCACTTTGCACATCCGTGAGGTGCGTGGTCGTGTCTGGTGACCATGAAATAAACGTTAACCCAGTGTCAACCTAAGGTGTTGGGTGTTGATTTGGTGTTGGGTCAGTTATGGTGTGGTGTGGTATCTTGACTAAAGTCCACTCCATATTGTGCAAGGTCGCTGGAGGGTGGGAGTACTATATCAGAACAATATACTGACACCCCTTGCCATTTTCAAAGTTTATAGGTCGATATTTTGTTTTGCCAGGACGACAGCACCTGTGTTCACAAATTGCCAATGTTCACATCCAGCAGACAACATCAATAAAATACCACTGGCCAACACTAATCCATAACCTGTCTCTTACTGAGCACGTATGGGGCATGACAGAGATATGTTCGTAACTGTAGTATTCCGCCAAAAACCTTGACCGAACTTGGTCAGGCAGGTGTTGCAAGAGGAGCAGGAAAGATTTCCTCAAATCGCCTTTGGGAGAGGTTTTTTTAAACAGTATATGTGTTGACATTCCGTTTACGTCCATTCAAGTTTCATCGTCAGTGTTCTGTAATTAATGATAACAAACAACTTCTGGTAATGAACATTGTGTTTAAAATCTTGCAGAAAATATTCAAACTGAAAAATATGAATCCAGCGTTTTACTCTACATTTCTACCTCACTGCATGCACATGAACTTAAACAGTAATACACAAGATAAAACATGAAATTCAAGCCCTTCTTGTCTTTAAGAATAAAGGTTCAACATTCAGGGGGTTCGCTCACGTCTTCTCATGTGATACTGTACTCACATTTTTAAAATACCAAATATTCCACTCGGAATTCCACATGCCTCATGATGTTCGAGGTTCTGTGACTGGGCTCAGTCAGTTACATTTTACAGTAGCACATTCCAAATCACACAGTTCTATTCCCAATTAGACTGTACAGACTAACTAATTTTCTGATAGGCAACCAGATATGTATTAGTCATATCTAATCTATTACACATAGTGAGTGAGTGAGTTAGTTTTAGACAGTATTTACCAATATTCCATCAATCTCACCACAGGGGAGACCAGAAATGGGCTTCACACATTGTACCTATGTGGGGAGTCGAACCTGGACCTTTGGCGTGACGAGCGAACGCTTCAACCACTAGGCAACCCAACCGACCAGAACATAATCTGACCCATCACGATGTCCAACACTTTTGCTATTTCTCAAAAGAAACATGCCTAAACCCAGTTTGAATCTTTGAAAACCTGTTCATAACCAGCAGTATACATGCATAATGAATTGTATTGAGACGCCTATATACTTACAGCTGTATACCATCGGATAGGAAATTTAATATGCTACATTTATTTGTAATTTTGTAGCAGTACGTAGATCCGCAATTCTCGCACAACGTTCACTTTTCAACCTTATGAAAAAACACCGTCGCCATCCTGGGGGTTTAACCCAGTTTGAATCTTTGAAAACGTTTTAATCAGCAATCAGCAATATATACAGTATATGGAATTGTATTGGTAACACCAGCTGTGGTAATTTAAAACTGAACCGAGAGTTGGTGTTTTGTTTGTTGTTTAACACCGAAGTCGGCAATAAGACGGAGCTTTGTCAATACTCAAATCTGGACCAGAAAATCCAAAGATCGCAACGCAGACAATTGGGATCGATGACCTGTCAACCAAGTCAGCGAGCCTGAGGACTCGGTCATGTTAGTTGTCAATGCATTTGTCGATAAAATTCCTAGACCCTGAAACACGTGATAATATGTCTCCTTATTTTAGTAGTGTAGGTTGATGTAACACCGTACTTGCCGTATTTCTTAATAATAGTACATGAGTTGATTTGTTATTTTCAAAAACAGTATTGGCCAGTATCAAGAACAATTTCCAAAATTCAACCATAGATGATTTTCATCAAGACCTTAATGGATGTATAGAAAGACCTCGGGACAGAGAGGCATCGAGCTTGGACCAGGATATCAATATAACGGGGGTGGTCTCCCCTTGTGGTATCACCGTCGGGTCCCACCTCATTCGTGACCAACTCGTGTTATTCCGGGACAAGCCGAATACATCTTCTTGCAGGTTACGGAAAGGGGCGCGTGGTGACGAATGGCCCTACCTGGGACGATTACGCAATCGTGATCAGTCGTGTCATTCCGGCACAGGCTGCGGAAAAGAGCGAGAGACGACCTCTAACGGATCTCCATGGAGACCGCTACTTACACGACGCCATTTTGGTTGTTGATGCTACACTTTGTTTCCACGTCAGTGTTGACATATCGCTGTTTATTCCGCGCGTATCTCACGTTCTGCACGATGTATGCTTCTGTTGCTTTGGCCTATCATCAAGGTATCTAGTAGTGGCGTCTGTGGGAAGTTATTTTGTTTTCTTATGTTCATTTCTTAATTTCAGTTTGATGCCTCCACGGGGGCGTGTAATGCTAAAAACTGCCATCAAGGTATGTCCTGTCATTGACGGGGTCTAAGCACTGTATAAAAGGATCCAGTATATGCCTTCATGGCAGTTTTTAGCACTACAAGCCCCTGGGGATGCCTCTTGGCCTATTGTATTACAAACTTGAATCGTGCCCTGAAGATTTGGAAACAATAAAAAGTTAAACAGTTGACTGACATACTGAGTAAAAAAAGGAAGTTCATTCGCCTATCCCTTATTTATGTTCATGAATTACTATTTGTGTTACAAATGATCAAATGTTTAAACGAATGGGTGTTGATGGGACGCTTGAAAGTATTTCTGTAAAGGGTTTGGAAACTCCCTTATTAGTAATCTCAACGAAGTGAATTCTGTTATTAACATCAATGTAACATAAATTCCTACCACACCACACCATTCCGTTTACGTATCATGACGAGGGTAAATTCCGATCAATGCCCCCCTTTCTTCCCTTGGCTACTACTAGTTGAACTTCTCAGGATTCCCTGAAATATATTTCTTAGAGTATACATAATATAATAATAATATTTACAGTGGTAGTGTAGGTTTTCATACACCAACTTGTAAGTAAAAGTTGTGTCAAGGGGAGGTAGTTTTTCATGTCCAAGACCATTTTGGCCAGACCATTTTACCTCAAAGAAAGTATAAAAACTAAACAAAACCAACCAGACAAACAAACACCTAACAATAAACAAAACAACACGAATCTTACAGTAAAGTCTACAGTCAATACTATCAACACAATACATTGAGATACCACTCTAGCACCTTCCACACTGTAAGTAACAATTGTATCAAGAGGAGAGATTTTGTCATATATGTCCCAATATATCCAAGACCAATTTAAAGAAATTAAAAATTATTTAAAATAAAAGCAACAGATACAACAAACTAAACTGAACCCAAGAAACAAACGACAAACGATGAAAAACAAAACAACAATCACCATGATTCTTACAACAAAGTCAGTCAATGAGTGTATAGTATTGAGACAATACGTTGAGATTGAACTGTGTTGATGTTTTTTATATATTAGTGTAATATGTATTCCATTTCAGCTCTGGACGATCTCCACAGGTTTAGGACCTACCAGGCCCCCGTCTCCCAAAAGTCTCTCCCAGTCCCTGATCCTGTAGGTCATTCATAGGTCCCAGTTGTTTGAGTGTATCCTGTTAAAAAAACAAATCTCGAGAACCAGTTTGAAACATGGAATTGCATACGTATTAACAAGATATGAACAAAAAATCCTTTTTGAGATAATCATATCTTAAAAATATCATTTTAATTTGAAACCGATAAAAGCATTAAACATCTCATAATCTCAACCAAAGTTCTCTCATATCAAATAGGAAATAACCATCTCATTTAATTTCAATAGTATGTTCATCATATCCCTATCTAAATATACTACCTGTACATTCATGGAAGTATGATCACCATGTCACTAGATACCATTACTACAAGTTCTTGTCCCCACATAGGATAGGTTTTGTTCGTTCCTAGCCTATTCTTTGTGACATGACTGATAAAATAGAGATAACAAATATGTGAAATATTAATAAGCTGCTTATTATCAGTACTCAGTTTAGCAATGGAAGTTTACCAACATTATTCTATCCCTCCCTTTCATAACAATATGAATGCATGACCTTTTTACGAACACCGTGTATAACAACTAATTCACAGTGATTCGAAAAGGTGTTTTATTTCATCTTGCTCTTCGTTGAAATGTCCCCGTTAAACTGTGTACTAATGACGAAACTTGGTTGACTTTTGGCTGTTTTCTTAATGCATGCCTTTTTGTAAAACTGTCAGTTAACACTGATTTCACTTGCATTATTCTATCCCTCCCTCACATAACAATCTGAATGCATGACCTCTTTACGAACACCGTGTATAACAACTAATTCACAGTCATTCGAAAAGGTGTTTTATTTCATCTTGCTCTTCGTTGAAATGTCCCCGTTAAACTGTGTACTAATGACGAAACTTGGTTGACTTTTGGCTGTTTTCTTAATGCAAGCCTTTTTGTAAAACTGTCAGTCAACACTGATTTCACTTGCATTATTCTATCACTCCCTCACATAACCAGAATCCGAATGTATGATATATTTGCAAACACCTTGTAATATTTGATAATGATTCAGAAAGGTGTTTTAACTTGCTCTTTGATCAAATAGCCATGTGAAACAGTGTACAAATGGCACTGTCAGCATGTAAGCTACTTCGTTAAACTATCAATTAATACTGATTTTAATGATATAGAGAAATCTGTTTCCTCTCTAAAAGCGTTCTGGTGTCTTCACGATCACCGTCAACCCCCTCTACACCCTGCCCGACCCCCTGACCTCCCTCCCCGTCCCTGCCTCCAGAGCCCGTCCTCAAGTTGTGGAGATCGATCTTGGTGAAGAATCCAAGCAGCCCCAGTCGTGCTCGGCTGTCCTTGTGTCTTGTGTGAAGTACATGTTCCAGAGTTTCTTCACACAGAGATAGACTTGGATGTGTGTGCTGTGCCTGTGTTGTGTGAACTGCTAGTTTTTGGACCTTTCGGATAATCTGTTTTGACTGTTTGGGCTAATTGTTGATAACATATTTTATTGTTTCATAGCATGATATAAGTAAAACGCATGTATAAACGTTGTTGCCTCAAGAAAGGGTCTTATACATTCGTACTTTACTCCAGGAACAGACCATTTGATATTCAGGTGTTGGGCCTAGGATTTTATGAAAACAAATCAGCTGGCCCAGAAAATGAAAGAAACAGATAATATGTTACACATAATTATGTTAGAAGTCAACACAAAAGAGTTGTCTACCACAAAAGTTACATTGCTGCACTGTGGTTTCCTTAAGAACATGTTCAGACGATTAGTTTGAAGTTCAAAATCCCAGGAACCCCATCCTCCCCGGAAATTTAAAGGGTCGGTTCCAAATGTCAGTTCCTGAATTTTGTCTACACCCCAAGACTCCTGTCATGTGTAGTCAGTACTCGGCGTCATTTCAACCATTGAGACGAGACCAAGTCTACACATACAAAGTTATATCTAAAGAAATTTCTTTACATATTTCTTTCAAAATTACAGTATTATCTATTATCGAAAATATCACACCAAATTTAGAAATATACAGTAACCTACTTACTTAAAGTCACATATCAGTTCTTGCTACCACTGAAGGATCGGGTGGTAATCACTTAGTTGATTGCATGTCACTGTAATCCCGGCTTGGGTTATGGCTCATGATATCAATCACTGACTTTTCTGGAATTTCCTGGTACGGTAAGTCCCTGTATCTGATGCTAGCCGTAAGACCTGACTAAAGGAGTGGTTGATAATTTGAGGATCGCAATCTTGTGTTGCCGCCTCTTCTGTGCTCAGCTGGATCAACAGATGATTCGTGTGCTTCTTATGAGAAGAAATATTTGTAGCTTAGATTACAGGCCTACTGAAGCGCAAATAGGGTTGCGCCACAGAGGGGAAAATGACCAGTCTTCCTATATGCGAGCAAGCTTATAGGAAGACTGGTCGTATATATCTGTGGCGCAACCCAGTTTGCCTGTGGTTCAAGTATGCAGAAATTGACTATTACTTCTTCCCACCCCAATGGCTTACACCTTTAATCTCAACTAGATTACATTTGAAGAAAAATAGTGTAGTGATGTCTTCAGAGTAACTCCTGTGATGCATTGCCAATGTGTATTGTAACCGATAACGTTCCACACTTACCACATAGGAGGGTACAGGTACAGGCTTTAGTTTCAACCTGAATCGAGCAGACATTTGGAACCCCTGTCTTCGTTGTAAATATAGGAGAACTATATTTCTATTTTGGAACAAGATGATACTCTTGTTACTGTCTTTTAAAAACATTTGAGAACAATTGCTGTGTACAGCAAAGTATTCATCTGTTTCAAGATGTGCGGGATTCAAGGGAAATAACTCCAGCTTAACTAATTCGTGACTTACAAAGTTATCTCCCATTAACTGTGTAAATTTATGGTAATTTGGCATTTTGCACCGAACTTTCAAAGGACGGCTGATTATTCATCCCGATGGCTGATAATATTATTTCCAGGCCCAGCCGAGATGGCTTAGCAATGCTGGGCAGATTTGTAGGGACCATGATGAACTTATTTGGCAAAAGGAGAAAGAAAACTCTAAACTTCACTACAACTATTTGACATTATCGCAAGTAAATTCATGTTGCCAAGCAACCGTTACTTGGCCTACCACAGTTTCCTACAGTTTTGTGATGGAAACATTCAAGTAGTTACTATAACTTTGGATGAAAACAATATTTTTCTAATTATCAGAGTACGTGGTGTCGTAACTGGCGATTGGGCTTCAGTAAACCCTACCCCGGTTTCTTACTACTTGTGGCCGTTCCCATTGTCAGGGGGATATAGTAGCTCTGGCGCTCCACTCGCTTGGTCCGTTGCCGGATGCTAAGTCCCGGCGTGAGGGGTCCGCATCTCCTAACTAACCACATACCATTCATGTACTGGCACACATACATTAATAGATAAACGTTATACTCACATAGTTTTACTCTTTCTCAGTCCATCTCTAAAGACAACTTCACCAACAGACAGGGTATAGGCTCATGCCACACGGGGCAACTGAGTGGCGTGGACTGGCTTCCGTCACTAAAAAGCGCGCACCACTTGCTCAGTGCCAAACCTGTCTTTTTATATGGTTCGAGCCTGGCCAGACCCTGATCACATGTTTCAGCTCATTGTTTTGATTCGTTAATCCTATATCCGTGTTAGCACTCATGAATATTACGATTGGAAAAGTACCGGTAAGTACCGTTCGGTTACTCTCCCTTTTTTTTATTGATTTGTTGTTTGTTTCAATATAAGATTAATCTGTGTTCTGTCTCTCTTTCCATAGCCTACAGCTAAACGCCATTCGCTCGAATCTCTGTTTGCCTAACCATTATGACTCATGAGCAAAACTGCAAATCTAAATACGGACTCTGATGTAATTCTCTCATGGTTATAGGGATGCATTTTTACCTTATAACAGTGGTCATAACATTTTGAAGCGAAATAACACAGTCAGTTGTTTAATTTGATCTTGCATGAATACGGCAGCTTGCATCCGATCTATTCAAAGAATCGGCCTCACACATTGCCGGTGTTATATAAGATATATTGTGATGTATGATAACCTACTCATTGTCCCGGTGTACATATCACGTGATTATTACTTTCTTTTTTCAGTTCACAAACACTTCTCCACACAAACGTAAAGGATGTCAAGACTGGAGACGGTTTGCAGCCAACTGAAATGGAAGTCGGACACACGAAGAGGAACGTGAAAACGACAAAACTGAATCGACAATACTGTATCTCAAAGATTCTCAGAATAAAAATCAATCGTTCATAACGTATTTCGTTTTTATCTTCCATCATATCGTGTTACATATGATCTCTCTTTGAAGATCCGGGTTAGAATTAGTCTTCAGCAACCCATTCTTGTCGTAAATGGCGACTAACGGGATCGGGTGGTCAGACTCGCCGACTTGACTGACGCATGTCATCATGTCCTAATTGCGTAGATCGATGCTCATGCTGTTGATCACTGGATTTTCTTGTCCAGACTGGATTATTTACATACCACGGCCACATATTTGGACTATTGCTGATTGTGGTGTTAAACAACAAACAAACAAAACAAAATACACAGATCCCTAATCCACTGAATCTGCCTTCGTCCTCTTTAAGTAGTGGCATTTTTCTGGGGAAGGAAGGATGATGTAAAGGGTTAGCATCATGATATAGACACAGTAATCCGCAGCGTGGTGGACCATCACAGTATCTACATCTACAACCAACCGTAATATTAATATCAATATCAAAGTTGGCAAAGACATCGTTGATAACGATGTCAGAACTAAGACCATTAGTCTAATAATTATGTTGTGATGCCAACTTCCTGACATTCTCTTGTGAGACTCGTCCTCCACATCCTTCCAAAAGGTCTTCATCGCAATTCACATGAATTCCGATTCACTTTGAACATCCGTGAGGTGCGTGGTCGTGTCTCGTGACCATGAAATAAACGTTAACCCAGTGTCAACTAGGTGTTGGCTGTTGATTTGGTGTTGGGTCAGTTATGGTGTGGTGTGGTATCTTGACTGAAGTCCACTCCATACTGTGCAAGGTCGCTGGAGGGTGGGAGTACTATATCAGAGCAACATACTGACACTCCTTGCCATTTTCAATGTTTATAGGTCAATATTTTGTTTTTCAGGACGACAGCACCTGTGTTCACAAATTGCCAATGTTCACATCCAGCAGACAACATTCATAAAAAACCTATAGGTCGACATTTTGTTTTTCAGGACGACAGCACCTGTGTTCATAAATTGCCAGTGTTCACATCCAGCAGCACAACATCAATAAAATACCCCTGGCCAGCACTAATCCATAACCTGTCTCTTACTGAGCACGTATGGGGCATGACAGAGATATGTTCGTAACTGTAGTATTCCGCCAAAAACCTTGACCGAACTTGGTCATGCAGGTGATGCAAGAGTAGCAGGAAAGATTTCCTCAAATCGCCATTGGGAGAGGTTTTTTGTAAACAGTATATGTGTTGACATTCCGTTTACGTCCATTCAAGTTTCATCGTCAGTGTTCTGTAATTATTGATAATAAACAGCACCTGGTAATAGACATTGTGTTTAAAATCATGCAGAAATCATCATGCACCTGAACTGAAACAGTAATACACAAGATAAAACACGAAATTCAAGCCCTTCTTGTCTTTAAAAATAAAGGTTCAACATTCAGTGGGTTCGCTCAGGTCTTCTAATGTGATATTGTACTCACATTTTTAACATACCAAATATTCCACTCGGAATTTCACATGCCTCATGATGTTCGAGGTTCTGTGACTGGGCTCAGTCAGTTACTTTTTACAGTAGCACATTCCAAATCACACAGTTCTATTCCAAATATATATTAGTCATATCTAATCTATTACACATAGTGAGTGAGTGAGTTAGTTTTACACACTATTTACCAATATTCTATCAATCTCAACACAGGGGACACCAGAAATGGGCTTCACACATTTTACCTATGTGGGGAATCGAACCTGGACCTTTGGCGTGACGAGCGAACGCTTCAACCACTAGGCAACCCAACCGACCACAACATAATCTGACCCATCACGATGTCCAACACTTTTGCTATTTCTCAAAAGAAACATGCCTAAACCCAGTTTGAATCTTTGAAAACCTTTTCATAACCAGCAGTATACATGTATATGGAATTGTATTGAGACGCCTATATACTTACAGCTGTATACCATCGGATAGGAAATTTATTATGCTACATTTATTTGTAATTTTGTAGCAGTACGTAGATCTGCATATTCTCGCACAACGTTCACTTTTCAACCTTATGAAAAAAAAAACGCGTCGCCATCCAGGGGGTTAAACCCAGTTTGAATCTTTGAAAACGTTTTAATCAGCAATCAGCA